AAACAAACAAGCAAACAAATGAGTAAATAAAGGAATGTCCCAATTAAAGAGCAGCAAACTCCAGCCTCATAAGGACCTTTATGAGGATACACCCTCCGCCTTCACTAACACCTCATTTACAGTTTCTTTCTCAGCATAATCACAGAGTTCAGTAATAATAACAGAAACAACCTGGCTTGAAATTCTAAAATGTCTACTGTCTGACACGTTAAAATAAAAGTTTGCTAGTACTCATTTAGATTAATATGTATGCACCAAATACAACTATGATGACATACTTTACCAGGAAAAGCAATGTAAACAAGCATACAGTTAAGTCACCGTCAGATTCAATTGCACTACCCACTGAGAATAAAAATTATCGGATCAGGTTTCTTGTTTTATTTTGACTTGTTTGTCTTAACAGTCACATTTTATGATTAAATGGAAGTATGGTGGGGATCAACGTATCTATGTCTTTCTTGTCTGTAATAAGACACTAATATTTTCTGTTTTCCTCACAGGAAAAAGTACTAGATTGTTTTCTGCATTGTCTTTCAAATAGCCCCCTCCTGATCCTTTCTCTCCTGACAATAATCTCTATACTGAAGCCAGTGTAGGAATGCAGCCCAGTGTGAGGACATCCATTATCACACTACACTTGAAGGCTGGTGAAAAATAAGGTGACCTTAAAGTCAGATTCAGTTTACGACAGTATAAAGTTCCATCAAAACTCTATTACTTGCCTCTCAAGGATCAAATGATCTCCTACGTCCTTTGGAATTACTGTAAATTACACCTGGCATCCAGGCAGCTCTCAAATTTGTAGTTGTAACTTTTTTGTGTTCATTTATAATTAAAATACAAAATAATGGGTTTCGTTGTGAGACTATCATACACATATAACGTTACATCTATATGATATATATTATATTAGAATCTAGACTCCGCCTAAGAGAGAAAACATGGGATTTTTGTTTACCTTAAACATGTTTTACTTAACATGGTGATCCATCCATTTTCCTGCAAATAATAAAATGCCATTCTACTTTTAGCCAGAGTAAGTTCCACTGTGCACATAAAACACATTTTCTTTATCTGTTAAACTGTTAAAGGCTGCAGCTCCTTCCCTGTCTATGTGTTCAACCTCACTCAGAGTCCTCTAGACAGACGTGGGACTTGACCAGACTGCTGTAGAGCCGCCCATTTGCTTTCAGGGCCTCACGGAGTTGACTCCATCATGCATGAGTCCTTCTGCCATCAGCACCCAAATGCTGTCTTCCATTTCCTGAAATTTCTTGACCCTGAGTTACCATTCACAACACATTTATGTTCCATATCATGTCATAAAACATTTGTGTATTATTTTTGCCATCCAATCAATTCCTTCTCTTTGAGATATCTTTTTTTATCATTTTATCAATTATAAAAAAAATAAAGTTTAAGTAGAAACCATATTATCCTTATCCTGATTACCTCAAGGTCTTTCATTACCCACCTTGTCTGACCAGCGTTTGGACCAGACTTGTATGATCTCCACAACAATTCTTTTAACTGGCCTAATTTATAGCAAGATGGGATCATCACTACTGAATCAAACATGTCCTGGATATCTGGGAGGCCTAGTGATGCCACAGCATTTGTAATGAGCCAGGGCCACACCCTATGGCCACAAGGTAATAGACAGTCAGAGAGTGCCCTTGCTTCTAGACCTCTCCCTCAACTAGTTCATCTGCTCTGTTTTATACTAACCATTTCTCTCTGAATGCCTTCTGTATAATCCTAACTTGCCTCTGCTTAATCCATACCCCTGTTTTCCACAAGGCGTAGCATACCGTCTTTAAGATGTGGCCCTCCAGGAAGGCTTCCCCGAACACTTTAACTTCACACTTACTGTATTTTTTCTTTTATGACCGATTTCCTTCCTATGTTTAATTCTGTCTCTTTGTGCCACCCAGATTCCCAGCGGAAAAAAATTGACATACTCAAATTGGGCAATCTGAGGAGATTTTATAAGAAAATAACAGGAAAATGGGAAAATATATTATTTTGAGGTACTGGATTGAGTGGCTCAAAAGGAAGAACGTTAGAAGGAGCTCTGTACACAAGAAATATGACTTATAGAATTGAGTAATAAGCACATCTGCCTTGCTTCTCTATCCATTTCTAGTTCCTCTAGCCCAAAAAGCTGTTAGTCATACTGTCTGATTTCCAAATATGAATTAGGCCATGTCCATTTGAGGCTACAACCCCTGCATATTACAAAGTCTCACGCATACACTGGCAAGCCCAGGCTCCATCCATCCTCGAGCAGCAGAAAATAGAGTGAAGATAGGCTTCATGGTCTTGTCTTTCTCTTTCATGGTCTTGCGCTATAACCAGCATTACCAAAGCCCTGTCTCAGAGGAAATGAGATATTGACCCAGATAATAAACAAGAATTTCCTGCATGCTGTCATGCTTTCCTGCTGTCACTGCATCACACAATTCCTGGGGATACAAATAGCACCTCCTAGTGTTTTGTCTTGTAATATCATCAAAAGCCCACTTTTCCTGGCACATGACCACACTCTGCACGGGGCTCGCTGTGGCCAAGGCGGGGTCATTGGTCGGTGCCCTCTAGTGTTACCACCTTCTACTGCAGCTGTAGTGAAGAGACAATGGGAAGAAAAGAACTTCATCTGAGGAAGGTTGGAGTCAATTTGTCAGCATCTCTAAGTGAGCTTCTGAATCGCTGTGTCTTCTTCATCTGAGACCCCAGCCCACCTGACTTCAGCTTTTCTGTGCCCAGGCATCAGTCTGTCTATTTGTCCTTTCGTCATTCTGTTACTGCCCAGTCAGGCCAGTTCCTGGAGCTGTGCTAGACATGACACTCGTGTCTGTGCTTATATATACACATTAAATCATGGGATTGTTTTCCTTTGTCCCATTTCTCAGCCTGGTCCGGGGTCTCTACTACCTTTTAAGTCCTACTGATTACTCTACCTGAGCTCAGAGAGCTGGAGTTTAGATGCTATGATTTGAATCAACAGAACTTCCAGAGTACATCGATGACTCACTGTCCCTGTAACCAGCTGGAGGCTGTTCTTCTAGATCTAGAAGAATACTTAGGGAGTCCTATAACTTTTTGTCATCACATTGAGGTACAAAAATCCCATGAAGTCACAAAAGATTTTCAACTTCTGAGAAACTTTCAGGGTGTGCAATTTTGTTTCCTTGAGACTTGGCTGAGAACATGGTAAGCACTAAATATCTGCTGAGTGAAAGAGTAGATGGCACGTGAGCAAATGAAGACAAGAGCAATGACATCCTTACTATGTCCCTTACCAAACAATGGGGAGCCCGCCTGCTCCACTGCTGATGGGTGATGCATCTCTATCACCCTTCTCTCCCGTTCTGTCTGCAATCTTCTTGACAGAACTTGAGCTGTCAGTTCCTCCTCCTCTCTAATTATTTAACACAGTCTGAGTCTACTTGGGATATGAGGAGCCTGAAGATGCTCTCCCCCAATTCATTCATTATCCAGAAGAGGGCACTGGGACTAAAAGAAGTGAAATAAGTTGTTCCAGGTCAGAGGGTAAATTTATGGCAGGAAACTTCTAATGTTGTGAGGATGCCTGGGTCTTAATATCCAAACAGAAGCATAACTTTTTATATTCTAGTGTAATTCTAAGACTTATTTATTTTTAACAAGAAATGTGTTTCCATGACTCAAAATCCATAACAGACAAAAGGTCACACCACTTTTTCTGTTCTTTAGCCAACTGTATTTCTCTTAAAGCCAGCCACTGGCAATGGTTTCATATGTTTTCTATAGAATGGCACATGCATCTAAAAGTAACAGTGTGTGTGCCTGCATGTGGGGATGTGCATGCGCATGTGTGTTCCAAAGTCTGTATGTTGACAGCTTGGTCCCCAGAATGGGACTATTGAAAGTCAGGCATTAAGGAAGTTGAGCTGGTAGAATGTCTTTTAGTCAGTGAAAGACTGCTTCCAAAAGGGATTGTGGGACCCATATGCTCTTCTTAGATCATATGTAAGTGGTTTTCTCCAACACATGCTCTCCACTGTTACGAGAGGCCCAAAATTTAGAGCTGTTGAGTCTTGTCATGGAATCTCTAGTTGCATAATCTCAATTTACCTCTTCTTTTTATAAATGACTGCAGATATTTCACTGTAGTAATACAAGCTGAGCACACTATTTTTTTTTCAGACATAGATTTCTTTTAGTGCTTCAACGCTTTCTTCATGCTGTGCCTTGGTCAGATTCTCCTTGGTGTGTTTCTCACACTTGTTCCCACCTGCTAATCTTATCTTTCCTCCATTCTTGACTCACTTCCTAATTTACCACCTTGGGTAGTTCTGGGGTTTCCGAACCATCTTCTATGCATTGCCATATCTTTCTAATGCCTACGGTTGAGTGTCTTATCGCCTGAACTCTTCAGTAGACTTTTTTGCCTTCTTAGCAAAGCTTGAGATCTTTTGACTGAAATTATGACCCGTCCTGATCTGTCCATCCCATATTTCTTTCCACTCCTGGTGTACCCTTTCCCTCTCCCCATTGAATTGCACATTCTACAAATCCTTTCTCTTTTTTTATTCAGTAATTCATTTTTATGCACTTTACATCCTGATCACAGCCTCACTCTTTCCTTTCCTCCCATTCCCACCGTTACAAATCCTTTCTTCCATTGCTTCTTCCCTTCTCCCCAGAGAAGAGGCGCCCCTTTACACTAGATTCCTTTGTTCCTCTTTATCCTACATGACTGAGGTCTTATGAGGAAATGGTTCATGGTTTTTTTCTCACACATTGTATTCCTCACTTAACCCAAAGCAGTGTTTTTACATCCCATTCCTGAAGCTTAACAGGCAGGTGTTAGATGAGCAGCTGGTAGGTTTATGACACATTGTCTACATCTTCTCTAGAAAATGACAAATTGTTGTGCTAACTTATCTTCAACAAATACATATTCACCTCAGATAAGGATACAATTATAAACCAAAACAATGATTCCACCAAAGTTCAATTTAGCAAACCAATGAGTTTATTGAGCCTACTTAATGAGCATTATTGAAGGGATACTTTTTTAAAAAGTGAGTTACCCTCAAACAGCTGTCTCATCACAAAATTTTATCCCATCACAAATAATAACTTCATGAAAATGCAATCATGGAGTCACACTTTTAAGTGACTCTTCCAATCTTATGTATCTTTGTCATGAAAGATCATGGGAGCAAGATCATGTGCATGTTACAGCAGAAGAGAGGAATGGTTGGAACACAAGATGATGGTACTGTGGCCCTAGATTTCCTTCTACTGTGGAGTATCAGTAGCTATGATAGCATCACTACTGTCTAACCTCTACATTGGTCTGCTCAAATAGCTGTCATGGTTATTAGACCAAGGTAATCTCTACTTCCAAAATAACCACAAGATGACCATGTTATACCCAGAAGAAAAGTGCCATATTACAAACACAAGTTAAGTAAAGGCTTAGAAGTTATATCCATAAAAGGCTATAATCAACAGAAAGAGAAGGAGTGAGAGAAAGGTACCTGAGGCATATTCACTCCAGTTTTTCCTCATTCATTTTTGTGTCTCTCACAGCTTCTAGTTCAGAGTACTAAATACATATACTCAAGAAAGGTTCTACTGTATAAAACCGATAGACTGATAGAACTGTAAGTTCCTCCTATAGTAATGTTTCAGATAGACTAACGTATCTTATCAACTGACCATAATGACATATAATCTTATCATAAACATCTAAAGGGCCCATATACTCCTCCCACAGCACTTGTGAAATTCTCAGTTTCAATTGTTGAGTCTCTGAAAGCATCACGGTAACAACATAATTCTAAAAGTGTGATCTTGGGACAAGTATTGTGGCCATCACCGTGGAACCTGTTGTTGATACTCAGGCCTCACTTCGAACATAAATCATAAGCTCTGGGGTGGTATTGTAAGTCCACATTTGAGTTCAGAGAGCACCTCCTGAGATTTCTAGGGTTTTGTGTGCCAGAATAATGAACTCATAGATAATGATAGACATACAGAATACAAGTAGGCTAATGATCTGGGAAAAGACAGACACCCAAAAGCACTCTATCATATGAATTCTTATCATTCGTGGGTAATTTGCATAGTGCCAACTTCTTCCTGTGTGATGTCATGGACTTTTCTTGGACATGCTCTATTTGGTATGTGAGGGCAGGTGAAAAGAGGTTTCCAGTCTTACTTATTTTATCTGTTAATCTTAATGCCTATCTCCAAATTTCAATTCTTCTCCTATAATAGGAGTCATCTGTGCATGTGTCAATATACCCTCCAGGTACTTATGATGTCAAGTCTAGGAAGAATTGACGATAGCACCACACCTGGACTTCTCAATACAGATGACCACAGCCTATTTTTTCAACATAAAACTGGCATTTAGGAGGACAATGTGTTCCTTCCAAGATGCTCTCAGTCACTAATATAAAATACTATTTCATTTGACTTTTAAGAAAAATTAAACAAGATATAACATCCAGTCTCCTGCAAAAGCAATAATTCATTTACAAATGCTAATAATAATAATAATGAAAGAGAAAAAAAGAAAGCCATTCATCAAGAAGAAGAAAAAACCTACTCATGTTAGGAAATAAAGTAAATGCATTTTGTGAAACATTTCACTGATGTAAAAAAAAATTGGCTAAAGTAGAAGTTTAAATACTTTTTAAACCTTCCTACTTGTCCTGAATGGATTACTTAACATTTAAGTGAATCAGAACATATGCAACTCTTTAGAGAATCAAGAAAAGCTGTTCTTTTCATATTGGGTGAATTGTCAACTGGCCAGCACATGACCTCTAGTAATGACCTTGAGGGTCCATGAAGACATTCTGGAGTCATTATGTGTGATTTGGGTCTTTGAGAGCATCAGCGTTGCATGGAAAGTACAAATGACTGAGCTAGAAGTCGTTGTGACTGACTTAATGTGTTTGCTTCATCTTCCAATCCATAGAGTGAGAGACAGTTTTCTCTGCCCACCTAAAACACCACAGAGACTTCTTGCTCCCCAGTTGATGGGGAGACAGAGCTTGTTCTTTCCATTTTCTCACCAGGAAGAAATGGAATATATTTTCCCAGGTAGATTGCCACATGTCTGTGGAAAAAGACCCGAAGGTGTTTCCGGAACCTCTCACCAACAAAGGCATAGATTACTGGATTGATACAGCAGTGGGTGTGGGTAATCACCTCAGTCACCTGCATGGCCAGGTCCAGGTGTTTACTCTCCTGACAACTGGTCTCCAAAAATGTGCTGTGAAAAGCAGAAAGAAGGAGAACCAGGTTGTACGGAGTCCAAAAAATAAAAAAGACTATCATAACAACAAAAATAAGCCGTATGGCCTTGTGTTTCTTTTTATTGGGGCATCTCAGCAGAGTTTTAATGATTCCTGAGTAGCAGATAACCATGATGAGGAGAGGAAGAGCTAGACCAAAGATGTTCATTCTTAGAGCATGGAAACGCTTCCAACTGTCTTCTTCACCCTCTGGGTAGCGAGGACTGCAGGAAAGCTCTCCTAAGTTGTCTTGGGACTCATGAAAGATAAATTCAGGCAATGCTGCCAGTCCTGCCAGGCCCCAGGTGATGACGCTGGTGATAGTAGCAAAAGTCACAGTTCGGGCTCGAAGGGCAAACACAGCATGGACAATAGCCAGGTACCTGTCAATTGTCAGCAGGATGATGAAAAAGATCTCACTGTACAAAGCCAGGTAATAAAACCCAGAGAGAATTTTACACATGTAGTGGCCAAATCCCCACTCATTCCACAGAACATAGTGAATCCAGAATGGGACAGTGAAGAGAAAGAGAAGATCAGACATTGCCAAGTTGAGCAGGTAGATATTAGTCATGATTTGTAGCTTCCTGTACTTTATGAGGATCAACACGACCATTATGTTGCCCAGGAGGCCGATGATGAACACCAGGGAGTACAGTGGAGGTAGGAGCCATGACCCCAGCTCTTTGATGCTGACTTTTTCACATGGCGGTGCCCACTCATATTCATAGGGTGTGGTCTCAAAGCTTTCAACGACAGTCTTGATTTCATCTGTGTTGAATGCCATTCTACTTGTCTCTGTGATAGAAAATAAAAATAAAGAAACAATTAACCATGTGAAACATATCGCTTGATTGTTCATTAAGACATTCAAGGTAGAATTTGTTCAGTACAAATGTCAAGATATATCTGAAATGCTATGAATAGGGGGCCAGAAAAAAAATCTCTGTAGCTCTCAAAGTCATCATGACTCATAATAGAAGAGAAAATAGAAATGCTATGTGTATTTTAAATTATGTAAAAAGTACACTTAAAAACTTCACATTTTAAATTTATGTAGTTTGTTTACTTATTTTTTTTTTTTTTATTGGATGATTTATTTACATTTCCTATG